CCTACTGCAGTATTATAGGTTTTATTTTTTTAATTTATTAGCATTATTAAAATATTTACGCATAAWAAGTAATCATTCAAATATTATATTATAATACTCGTTAGGTCCTATAAATATTAATATATTATACTAAGGTAGTATAACGTTTGTGTATGAGCTATTAATGTGATAAAGTCTAAATCAATTGAACTACCTATATACTCATATTCACAATTAACAAAAATATTACGAGTTGGTACTGTTGGTAGGTTTTATAACGTTATGTGTTACCCACTTTTAAAAACGTTTCGTTCCTTTTCTTTGCAATTTTCTTCTGTTTCTCCATCTGTTCTCGGCGGATTTTAAAAAAGTCTCCTTCTTCCACCACCACCGACTTGCGTCTGATCAATCTGTGCAGATARACATAACTGTTTCAACGTAATAGGTTACAACACGATATATAGGTTTGATTCACTAAAATATTGGAACTTGGCACTTATAGGCAGTAATCACAGTATARGCACAGATAATGAAATATAATATCGAGTGAAGGGTTCTACATATTTAATTCAATCGTTGTAATGTCTAAAACAATATTATAGTCTGTATATATACTCACATCTCTTTTAGTTGGTTTTCCAAGTCGATTTCCCTGTCTATGTATCCACGCAATACTTGCCTGGCGATATCCTTTTCTGACATGATAATATATACCAACGTATTATATCTGTTGAACGATTACTTAAAAGTAATAACGCACGTTTCAACGTTTGAACGTAACGAACGCCTTTCGTGAAATGCCATACAACAATATAATCGACGATTTGTTTAGGTCACGTGTATAGTTGCCAAGGAGGGTATATCCAAGGACGAATGCATAATYGCGAGGGCGCCTTGCCGCCCTGTACATTATATATATTATTAATTTATTAAACAATATTAGTCATACTAAATAGTAATATAGTACTTATGATTATTTCTATAATGACACGTCATTCCCAGGTATACCAGCTGCRTATCACCTGCAGGTTGTAAAGTTAGTCGTGATCATCGGTTAGTTGAAAGTTKAATCATCCAGAGTTGTATTTATAACCACGCATATGTATAAACTATTAATACATATATATTATTAATTTATATTTAGAATGAATCTAATAAAAATGATTCTGTAACAGATAGTGCAAAAAAGTATGATAATTTCATACTTATATACAATATTGTGTATCTATTACATTACAGGATCGCGGAAACGATATGGTAAAAAAGTCAGATAAAAAGTCACGGTAAAAACCGACACGGGTAAAAAACGTTAAAAATGTATTTTTATCTAAAAATCACAATCATGGTTATTAAGTTTATTGATAAAATACACAAATAAATAAATACATAAATTGACAATTTGGTGAAATATA